CCCCTGGGGCGCATGCGCGTGGTCGGCAGGCTGGGGTGAGCAGGCAGGGTGCCCGGTGGCCTCCGCTCGGCCCAGGTGGCCGGGCATGATGGGCCGAGCCTGTAGCCAGGTGTGCAGCGAACAGCTGGACAATGGGAACCCCAGTGGCCTTCATGGTATCTGCCAACGACAGGTCTCATGGTGGGTGGGCTGCCCTCCCCCCACCCACCTCACACAGGGCCTGGTCCAGCAGTAAGGGGGACAGTGGACTGTGGACAGGGCACATGTGGAGCCCCCCAATGGGTCACATGTGGCCCGGGCCTTGACCCTGACCAAGCAGGACAGCTGCAGCCACAGGGCCCCAGGCCTCCTCCTCCTCCCTGGGAGCAGGAGGTGGGGCCGGGCAGAGGGAGCAGCCGAGGGAGCCACGCTGCTGAGCACCCCGCTCCCCTCCCACCCATTGCCCGGATGGGAAAGTAGAGGCTGCCAGGCCCCATCTGCACAGAGAGCCGTCAGAGGCTCAGACCTGCAGCCGTGGCCTCTGGAGCTGGAGGGATGGGGCTCAGAGCCTTCAGCAGTGCGCCCTTCTTTCCCAGCCCTCCTCACAGCCTCCCTGTCTCCCCGCCTTCTCTTGCTTCGACTCCCTTGAGACGTGAATTCTCTCAGACTTTGAATTAAAAACGCTCTCCTTCCTCCCCCTGAGGTCTGCTTCCCGGTGACTTTCCTCTGAGAAGGAAGGGGAGGGGGAGGGGCCGGCTGGCAGGAAGGAGTGGAGGTCAGGCCTTCCTGGTCTCCTCGGGGGGCCCAGAGGAAGCAGGGCCTGGCTGCCCCCTGCGCCGTCACCTCCTGGCTTCCTGGCTTTGGGGGGGGGGACCATTTCTGAGGGCCCCGCCCTGGCTGTCGCCACCAGCCTTGAGTAATGGCGCCAGCTCTCTGCGAGCGGTCTCTCCCCGTCCCGCAGAACCACTCACAGGGGCCACAGCACGTGCCCCTCGCCAGGTAGAAAGGCCCCGTGTTCCTGGGAGAGGGCTGTCCGCTGCCACAGCCTCGGGGTCACCTGCAGCTGCCGGTCTCAGGCTGGGGAGGTGTCCCTCGGGGTCACTTATCAAGGGAGATGCAGCCCAGGCTGTGTCATGGCCTCAAGGTCACCTCTGGGTCACAGTGCCTCTCACATGTAAAGGGTGTCCCAAAATTCACGCAAGATTTGAATTTTGCGTGAGCATTAACAACAAAAAATAAAAGCCTAATTTTACTTGGTTTATTGAATCAGATTCTAGTATCTGTTGCCCTTTGATTTCAATCCCTTCAATGTGATAAGCATTACCATGTACCAATGATGGCCCAGGAGCAGGGACAAGGAAGACCAATGAAGACCACGGCTTTGAGTCTGTGCCAGCAAAGCCATGGAGGCATTTACCCGATGTGCTATTCCACACATAACCCTATACTATATACTTCATGAATCAATAAAAAATTTACAATTTTTAATTATAAACCTGTGTTTTCTATCAAAATTACTTCTTGCGTGAATTTTGGGACACCCCTTAGCATTCCCAGCTGGGCTCGGGGACACCAGGTCAGGTGCTGGCTCCTGAGGTCCCGTCCCAGGGCCACCGCGCCTCCTGCAGCCCAGAGTCGGAATTGCAGACCGCGGGGCGGCTTTGGGGGAAGAGCCTGCAGGGTTCCCTCATTTCATTGAGCCTCAGTTTACCACCAAGAAGGGCACCGTGATTCCCGGGCTGCTGACCACACTAGTCGTTAGGAAGATGGGAGCGCTGACTCCCCTGATGGGAGCTCCTCCGAGGCCCTCTGCTGGGGCACAGAGGGCGCCCCATGGCACGCACAGCAGCGGGGCGGATGGCTGCCTTCGCCTCTTCCGCCGCCGCCACCCGTCACTTACCCAGTCTCTTCATTTCTAAGTAAAGTGATTTGTTAATTTGAGTGACTGATCGCCACTCGGCCGGGCCTCTCGCAGGCCCCGGAACAGCTTGTGGGCTCCGGGAGCCCCACGCCCGCAGCCTGGCGCCGACTGGAAGGGGTTGTTTTCGATTTAAATGCGAATTGAATGAGGAGAAAAATGTTTCTCTTGGCAATTCCATAGGAGCTCGCTCTTCTGACAGATGTTGGCGTTTATTACCCCATCGGGCCGGCGTTGCGTGGAGCAGAATTGCTAATTATTTCCGAGGCCCGGGCCGCAGCGAGGAGGGGAGGGTGGTGGCGGCGCGGCTTCGGGCAGCATCTGCCGACAGAAGGGCGCGGGGACCAGGGGCCAGCCCGCTGCACCCCCCTCCCAGGGTCGGAGGCATTTGGGTTTTGCTGGGTGGAGTGGCCTGGAGCGGGCAGGGGGCCTGCTCTTGCTTGCACAGCCTTGACCTTGAGTGAGGACTTTGGAAAGTCACCTGGGGCCTTGGGTGCTGGTCATGGGCCTGTGAGTGGTGGCAGGGAAAAGGCTCCACAGGGCGGTGTCCTGGCTGGGGGAGGACCAGCCCCAGGCGGGGGCACGCTGGCTCTGGCCCGTGGCTGCGTGGCTTCCTAACCGTGGGCTCTGCGGGCGTGTGGGGGGTTGACGTGACCTTGTGCTGTGTTTGTGGGTCTACCTGGCGTGACTGCCCATGTCTACAATGAGAACTGCTCGGGCCTTTGGGGTACGGCTCTGATTCAAGTCTGTCCTGGGCCTCAGAAGTGGGGGGCAAAGCTGTCCAGAGCGCACACAGCCACGGTGGGGGTGCCCCAAGTTTCAAAGGGCACCATGGAAAATGGACTGTGGAGCAGGTTCCCTGGTGGGCGTGTGGCCCTGGCAGCCAGACCCCTGTCCTGTGGTCCGTCCGGTGCAGGGCCTTCGCCTCACCCGGGCGCCTCCGAGCCCCAGCCGGGAACCCAGCTTCCCTTCAGGACGGGGCGGAGGCCTCCGACCCACACAGCCCAGGCCCGACTCCAGGTCAGCTGACGCTGAGGAACAATTCCTCCTGCAGGGTCCCCTGAGACTCAGCCCCACCGCTGTCCCCTCCTCACCCCACCTCTTTCCTGAGCCGAGACAAGTGGCTAGATACCCCAACTGTCCTCGTCCCGGCCAGCTCAGGATGCAGCACCTCATCCCCCGTTCTCGGGTGTCCCCCGCCCTTACGCTTCTCCACCCCCACCAGCTCCAAGCCAACCAAAGCTCAGCTCCCTCGTTTAACACACGGTGGCGGCAGCATCTGGGCAGGATTTTATGACCCTCACCAGCACCGATCCCCGGGGTCCAGCTCTAGGATCCAGGCTGAGACCAGCAGAGCGCAGGCAAGGGGGTGCCCCAGGGCCTGGTCAGGGGGGGTGGCGTCTCAGGCCACAGCAGCTGAGCCCCGGAAGATGGCATGGAGCCCTGTGGCCCCAGTCTCTCCTGGGCTCGAGCCCTGGGCCCTGGCAGCCATCCTAATGGGGAGGGGGTGCCCAGCGCCCCCGGGCTGAGATCCTGCAAGGTGCCTCTGACTGACCACGTACCCTCTCTCTCCTCCGGGTAGAACTCCACCGTGACGTCCTCCCATTACACAGGGCGTGTTCAGAAGAGAAAATTGCTACTATTTTCCCCCTTTTACTTCACTGTCATCAAAAATTGATCCCGTATTGCATCCTTATTTCAAAGAGTGAGCTAAAAAAATAAAGTAAAACCCCACTCCTCAGAGCAGCAGCTGCACAAGCTTCCCACTCGCCCACCCCCACCCCCCAAAAAGGAAAGAAAAACGCGGCCATTGGAGGGAGGGTGCAACTGCGGCCTGTTGGAGTGGTGGGCCCTTTGGGAGTGAGGAGGGCGGGGCACATGTGCAGGCAGGAGGGGGTTTGGATCTGGTGAAATGTGGTAGAAAATGGGGTAATTGGGGGAGGTTAATTTGGATCTAAATGGAGCGATTCGTTATCTCAATAAGAAGCGTCTCGTTTTCCAGGGAGACGGCTGTGCCTGCCAGATGCCGGCCTGCCCATTGACTGGTGATGGCTCAGAGCAGGGCCTGCTGCCGCCCTGACCGTCTCTAGCCTCACAGAGCAGCGGAGGGACGGGGAGGCGAAGTCAGGGGTACAGGAAGGGGGAAACTGAGGCTGGGGTGAGCAACCAGCTTGACACCCCACGGAGCACTGCGGCCTCCTGGCCCCTGTCCAGTGTTCCTGGGCCCACGGGAGAGGAGAGATGGGGTTGGGTGAGGAGTTCAGTTTCATTTGATTTATTCCCCGGGTCAGTCAGCAAAGTAGTGGGAAGCTCTTCACGTAGTAAAACATATGCTGGGGTCCAACCCCAGCAGGTCCAGGGGTCTCCAAAGGTGTGGACGGAGTCGGTGAAGAAGGAATGACACAGAGACAGCGTTCAGTTGATCAGCAGCCTAGCCAGGATCTCCAGCCAAGTTCTGGTCTGGATCTCCAGCGAAGTTCTGGTTAGGATCTCCAGCCAGGTTCTGCAGCCAT